ACACTTTTCCTCTCTGGTTTTCAATTTCTTTATCATGAGCTGGGCTCCGGCCCCCTCCAGCTCCCTCCGGCTCAGTCTAGTTACCATATGTTGTGCCTTTGGCCATACTTTCTGGAGAGATGTTCCAGGGCGGGGGCCAAGACAGCCCGGCCTCTGGATCCCTTCAATTTCCCATCCCTACCTTCTCATGGGGCAGCTCAGAGTAGGTACCCCTGAATTGGTTGTTAAGTATAATATATATATTATAAGGGCTTTGTGGACAGCCCTTTAACATTTTCTCATCCCAGACATACAATAACACCCTTAATCAGCAGGGCGAATCTGCGAAGTAAGCATTATTATTATAACAGGATGTTAGAATGGGATGTTTTCTCTCTTGGTTTTCAAAGGCTGAAAACAAATAGCAGGTGGTATCCGGTGGCAGACCATATGTGCAGGGCTTACAAAGGGGGTGACCCGAACTGGTTCTCTCATCTCCAGTCCACCACTCATTCCAACCATGTTAAAGGGCGCGAACCACCCATTTTCAGGACTAATAATGGTGGAGTTGTGGTTTCGATACTGGTCTAGAGTGGACTTTTACTATCAGGAAAATATGGAGCCATGCCTGAGGTTTGGTCTAAGGGTGGGATAAAATATACCTCTGACCGGGTGTAACAATGTATTAGAAAACTAATAATGTAATCAATTACTGTAATTAATTGATTAATAATTAATCAATTAATTACACATTTACAGCCTTAAAACAACACCCATTTATTATTTTATAGCTCAATAGGTCAGAAATCTGACATGAAGCTCAGGGGGCTAATACGGAGGTCAGCAGGCTGCATTCCTTTTTAACGGTTCTGGAGGAGAATCCATTTCCTTACCTTTTCCAGCTGTTCCGATTCCGAGGCTCAAGGCTTCCTTCTTCTGTTTGCAAACTCAGCGACATCAGGTCAAGCCCTTGCCACCCTGGGGCCTGCTCGCCCCTCTCCTCTGCCTCCCTCCCGTACCTCTACCTTGAAGAACCCCTGGGACTACATTGAACCCACCCAGGCAATTTCATATACCCTCCCTGACTTAAGGTCAGTTGATTAGCAATCTTAACTCCATCTTCAACTGTATGCCCCCTACGTCATGCAGCCTTAATTACACAGGTTCCAGGAGTCAGGACATACCGTCTTTGGGGAGCTATTATTCTGCTGACCACAAACGGGGAATGGTAGGAAGAAACAGAAATGCTTCCGGCTCCC